AATGTGTTTTCTTTATTTACCTTAAAGGGTAAAATCGACACAACAAAAAAGTAATAAATGTCAAAGGACCTACATCTAAAATAAAAAACACGAGAACTAGACCCAATGACAGCTAATCGTTTTGGACCTAGATCTAAGAACCCCCTTTTTTTTTTCCTTGGAACAAGTTGGATGCATACAACCAATTTACTTTAGCAAAAGATATGAAAACCAGTTAGCTTGTAAGGAGAGGAGAAAATTATATAACAAATTAAATTCCTTTTATTTATTTATCAACGTAAGTTTATAAGCAAGGGCATGGGAGTTTAAAGTAATTGGAGTTTGCTGTTGATGAGGCTTGAGTTAAGCTAAAACCAGCCAACAAGACTTGGGTTAGAGTCTTAGAGAGGTGAAAGAAACAAAAAACAAAAATAAAAACAAACAGGTGTCTTTTTGTAAAGTGACCACGTGGTACGTGGAGGAGGAAAGGCTCCTGATGTATCAGGAGCCAAGCAATGTCCTCCAATTAATGGGCTTTTCCAAATAGGCTGTGTTAATCATAGAGCCGACATGTCAGTTCTCCAAACAGTCCTAAGTTGTCACCTTACAAAACAGATCCAAATAGTCATATTTTGGGCCCAAAAACTAAACAGCCCATTACATGTAATATCGTTGTAAACATATTAAAAAAACAAAAGCAAAAGAGGAGCTTGATCAAAACAAAAAACCAAAAGAGAAGAAACCCCTTTCAACCCCGTCGGGTCGTGTACTCAGCCCCTCCCTCGAGCACCTCCCTCTAGTGCTATAGCTACAGTCTGTGACTCTGTGTCTGTGACTGCGCATTGCTTATTGAAGAAGCAGGTCCAATGAGCAAACAGAGACCGCCACCGGACCCAGTGGCTGTGCTGAGAGGTCACCGCGCCTCTGTCATGGACCTCTGTTTTCATCCATCCCAACCTCTCCTATGCACCGGGTACCAGTTCAATATACTTATTCTCCAGCTTACCCCCTTCTTCTACTATTTCATCTTTAATATTATTACCAATTTGATCAAATCAAGTACCTTTTTCTTCGTTTTAGTTCCGCAGACGGCGAGTTGCGGATTTGGGACACTATCCAGCATCGGACTATATTATCAGCAGGGTACTTCATATACACAATGTAATTTCTTTTATTATAATTAATGAGTTGGTGTTTGTTGTTTGGAAATAGAAAATAAATAAAAAATTGCAGGGTGCATAATGCGGCACAGGGGATTGCTTCTGTTGCTTGTAGTTCTTCAATTGGAGCCAATAAAGTGATCAGGTGTCTGTTTTTAAAAAAAACTTTTTCCTATTTTTAATTCATTTATTGGCTATGGGTTTTTTACTAAAGTTGGAATTTGAAAATGTTGGTGTATGTAGCCAGGGTAGGGACGGAACAGTGAAGTGTTGGGATATTGAAGATGGAGGTCTGTCCAGGTTCGCAGCTAATTAGCTATTAGATATTTTTGTGACCCACATTATATTTTAGCTAATTAGCTCATCAATCTTGCACTTTGATATCATCTTGGCAGGACACCTTCTGTTACAATCAAGACAAACTCTTACCACTTTTGTAAACTTTCCTTGGTGAAGAGACCTCATTCTAGTTCTACGCGAGTTTACGGGACTACACATAATGACATTGATGAAACAAGGGTTAGGGAGAATGCTGATGCGGATACTCTAGACGATAGCAGAGAAAAGTTTCAAGAGTATCTGCCTGAGCAGTCCAGCACATTTGAAGGTTTGTTGAAATTGATGTTCTGACCAGAAAAGTTGTACATTCACTTTAGCTACTTTCTCTCAGGTGACAAGGGACTTAGATATATCTATTAGGGAAGATTCTCCAATAAGTATTTTATGTTAAGGAATGGTTACATATTTATAATCTCGACCGTTGGATTACATTTATGTTGCATATTAAATCTACCAAAATGAATGCAATCCAACGTCCTAGATTAGAAATATGTAACCAATCCTTAACTTAAATACTTATTGGAGAATCTCCCATCTATTAGTATTTGAATTTGTATACTGGTTTCTTGTAGTTTATACCCTTGATGTTGTCTTTTTTGCTTTGAGGTAATTTAAAAACTAGAATAATGATAGACAAAATTTTTGAAACAGAAAATACTCAAGTTGAGGGATCGAAATATGTCGCTGTAGCAGGGGAGCAGCCTTCTGAGGTCTATATGCAACCTTGATTAAGTTTACTTTTGTTTTCATTTTTAAAGTTCCCAATTGCTCATTATATTCATCGGTTGATTTGCAAAGGTTGAGATTTGGGATCTTAATACTGCAGAAAGGTTTGCACGGCTACCTCAAAGCTGCGTTGCTGGTTCCTCAGGTATATCTACCACACAGAGAGGTAAGTTTCTGATTCCTGAATTTAGTTGTGCTTCAGTTATAGACTATGTTGTTTGGACTATCTCTTTTCTTCCATCCATTCCGGTCATTTTCATCTACTTTTAACATATGGACTTTGTTTCTTGACAGGAATGTGCATGGCGGTTCAAGCATTCTCACCATCCAAATCACAGGGATTCCTAAATGTCTTGGTTGGGTAAATTCCTCTTTTCTTGTTCTCTTCTCATTTTCTACATCTTATGAAACTGAGTACCTTATCAATTTAGTATCTCCGCGAGCTTAGTTGCTCCAGAGGTATTTGCCCCAAATAGTATACAAAGGTACATTAGTCTATGCTAATGACAAGATTTGTACTAATTGATATCTTGGATTGAGATGTTTGGTGCACCCATATTCGCAAATTTAATAATCATTGAAGCAGGATTATTCTCAAGTGGGTTTCGGGAATTGAAATTCGAGGCCAAAATTTTGTGATTTTTCCTCAGTTTGGCTTGTGTTTTGTGATTTTTGTTTCTTTATTCTACGTGGTACAGCTATGAGGATGGTTCCATGCTTTGGTGGGATATTAGAAATCCAGGGGTTCCATTGACCTCGGTCAATTTTCATTCAGAGCCAGGTGTGGGACATAGAATCTGACGAATCCCCATGCGTTTTTCCTCCTCATTTTCCCTTTGAAATAAGGCATGTTCTTCATGTTATCTGCAGTTCTAAGTCTATGCGTTGATGGGTCATGCAATGGTGGTGTCTCAGGAGCCGCAGATGACAAAGTTGTGCTGTACAGTTTGGATCATTCCATGGTAACGTATGCATGTTCATAAGTTTGTAGTACTAGATGTGTTACAAGCTCCCTGCCTCTGACCATTAGAGGCAGTTCCTAGATGTTTAAGTTGAACTAACAGACAAATGAAAATGTTAACTTTCACATGCCAATCTTTAACTGGAGGCTGTATGCCAAATAAAATATAAATAGTGTTCGCCATATGTTTGTAGTGTTTTTCCTTGATCTAATAGTTATTATTTCAAAATTAATTGCCTTTAATATTTAAGCAGAAAGCTATCAATTATATGAAGAATTGGTGTGAAAGTAACTGACTAGTTACAGCAGGCAACCGAGTCGAATATATATGCATTCTTTGTTGGCTGTTTGTTGTTTCGGTATACACTAATAGAAAAACTAACTCTTATTTCATATCTCTTTTTCTTCGATGTTGTGCTTTCTAACCTAGGGTACATGTGTGATCAAGAAAGAAATTAGTTTGGAACGACCTGGCATATCGAGCACTTCTATTCGACCTGATGGTAAAAATTTTGCAACAGCTGGCTGGGACCACAGGTTGGGAATCTTGTAGTTCATTCATAATTGTTAGTCTTAATTTACAAAGACAAAAGCTGATCTGCATTCTTGTGTCTTTTCTTTTTGCCCCTTTTTCATTTTACCTATTGATGGCAGAGTGAGAGTATATAACTATCGCAAAGGCAATGCTCTGGCGATATTGAAGTATCACCATGCAACGGTATAGTGTTCCTATTGGCATAAGATATAAATCCAAAGATTCTCATTCTCGGCATTTTTGCATTCATTTCTCTAATTTGAGTTACTAGGTGTTGGAGAAAAGAAGTGTAGTCAGCGGGTACATAGCCTACTATATACGACTAAGGTGTCTAATTAGAGCTGCTTCATCTTTCTGAGGGCCTGATTATTTGCAATTTTCCTTTCTATTTTTTGTTTTGTTTTTGGCAGTGTAATGCTGTTTCTTATTCACCCGATTGCAAGCAAATGGCATCTGCATCAGAAGATACGACGGTGGCACTGTGGGAACTTTATCCTCCTCGAACTTGAAATGATATGGTGGTCCTGAAGTGGAAATGAGTTTGTGTTCCCTATAATGTAATAGAAGAGCATCAATAATCAGTATCATTACCGTTTGTGTGCGTAAGTTTAGATTAAATTCATTTAAATTATGGATTATTGCCTCTTTGGGAAAAAGATAAGATGTTAGGCCTTCAATTTAGCAATAAGATAAGATGTTACTCGCCTACAAGAACCCTGTGCTGGGATGAAATATGTGTTCTCCTTCTGTAATTTTCTGTTGTTTCAGACAGCCTAAGAAAAAATCGACATTTTGGACTGTTATGTAATTTGATGGCTGCCTGCAGGTATGCAATTGAAAAACAGAGCCAAACTCGCACCCTTTCAGACGCAAAAGAAAGGGCCAAGTCGCGTTGATTTGATTTGGACATTTAGTTTGGCGGCAATCATCCAATCCAATGGCATCGAATAGAGGTGCCACATTCTTAGCCTCTGATCTACAAAGCAATGATTGGCTTGGCTATGCTGAAGAGGAGGTTTATAAATTATTGCTTCACAGCTCTCAATTTGATATCTCTTACTTCGCACAAGAAAAAGAGGACCCATTGTTGACTATACCAGTTAGTCTTGAAATATTTTTCAATAGCAGCAGCCGGGGAAAGAAGTTGCACATAGATTCTGAATTTTTCATAACCAGCTTTCTTTACTTCCTCTTCTTGATCTCTTTAGGGACTGACCCTAAAGTTCAATTTCTACCTCTAGATTAGGCTTCCATTTTTCCAAATTGTCGGTCGGCTTTGCTGCAATGTTTATGTAATAATATTACCAACTCCCTCGTGATTATTACTAATTAAGCCATTGTATATTTTTTAATGTAAGCGATAGTCTAAACTATTCTAAGTTATTCTAATTTATATAGAGGATATTCAAACTTTAGTGCATGAGTGTGCAACATGGGTCGTCCTTTGGGGTTATGGGCTCATAATAACTGAACTTCTGAAATCTGAACCATGTGATTTTCTATTTTTGGGTACAAAACTCATGTGGTTCTCAGATAATATGTGCCTAAGCCCTTTGCCCTCTTTCACAAGGCACCCAAAAGTTTAAAATCGGCTTCGAATCCTTCCACACGAGCATGGCCTTGTTTTGATTAGTTAATGCTGTATATCTCTGCTAGCTGGTTTTGTTGCTTTGTAACATCGTAGAAGAACAGATGGTCTGCCTGAAAAAACTTTTCCCGGTTTGTTTTGGTAAGCAGTCAGTTGCATTATTGATGTTGCTTGGGTGATGATGAGGTCGTCATTCATTACCATGTGCTATTCAATATCATTATCTTGTTTTCAGGTAAATGATTGAAAATCCGATTTCGTTTTCATGGCCCAAATATAATAAAATTTTCAATCATCATTTCCCTTCTGGATCAGAATATTCTATATTGCGTTGCGTGTATAGCTTATTGTTTTGACAAAGGGTTTAGGGATGATTAATTTGGAGAACCAACTAACTAATGTGGATAAGCTATACATAATTAGAAATTACAAGATAATTAATTAGGAAGTAGCCATCGAGAAGTAAACTAGAACTATCGCCGGACGCTTTTGACCTTAGTGGTAAGACATTTTCTTTACAACCAGCTTGCTAAAGTTGGACTCTCGTACGTAGTCCTCGTTTTTCCTTAAACCTTAAGATTTTTCTTGAAGGAGAAAGAAAATGAAAATGCTTCTAGTATTTGAGTTTAACAGTGACTAAATTTAAAGGTCTTTTTAGAAACAGCGAGTCAGAGAAACGCCATAGGAACAAGTCATATTTCAAATTAGATACGCCAGGAAGATAAGACGTCTGGAACCTGCTTTTGTTATATAATTAATGTTAATTACTCCATCAAGTTGAACCGTGTTGCTTGGGTGGAAAATAGAGTGCCTACCTAACTATTTTCTAGCTAATCTCAAAAACCCTGCTTATAACCTTTCTGATCTTCAAAGCGAAAGCAAAGTGAACCAATTACAAGAGGAAAAGGAAAACCAGAAATGTTGACTTTTATTAATAAATCATTTGAAGTTGAGCTGTGAGAGAATTGGATGTCTGTGGATGATGGTTTTCAAAATGGGTTAAATGCCAATGTTGGAAACGTTTTCTAGTGAAGGTTTTAAACTGCAGATGTTTGTCTTGTCTCCTGCTGGTGAACCAGAAATGGGTTAAATGCCTCTGGTTCATGAATCAAAGGTTTGACTATAACTTGTATAATTTGGTAGCTAACAAGCAGGCATGGCGGCTAATATTCATTCTTTCAGGTTCATGAATTAATCGTTGTGTTGATAAATTAATTAATTAATTAATTTAGTCCTTGGAATTAATATATATATATATATATAACAAAGACCAATAAGAAAGAATGATCAGCAACAAAATAAAAATAAAAATAAAAAGGAGGGAAGGAAACTTCAACGATACCCAAACTGAGAATATTCAGACACAGAATACTTCAAATATAACGTGCAGTTTTCTTATTTTACTTGTCCCAACCAATTTGAGTTATTTATTGCGATAATAAGATCACGAAAATTCTAAGTATAGTCCACTTCACCAAAAAAAATTCTAAGTATAGTGATTGAAAGAATGTGTCCACCAACCGCATCAAACTAGTACTGATTGACTCGTTTTAATTGTAACATTAATACAAAAAAAATTGGATCCTGTCTTTTTCTAATTGAACCAATCCATTCGACGCAAACATGGATAAACATTGTCCTCTTTTTTAAAAAAATAAATCAGAAAACAACTATATTTCTGCAAAATACTTTCGTATATCAGAAGCTCAACATGTACAGAGATGATGCATGCTGTGTTTAAAGAGAAAAACAATTTGTGCAGAATCTGTTTCTTTACAGTTTGTCATGTCTGTAGCACCGAAAGAGATTAAACTGATTCGAACCAACGTATACCTTTGTAGCTAGCATGCAGCTAGCTTTTGAATCATATACACCTCCTCCACCCTAAAAATAAATTATTTCGATTTCTTCGTAGACAAGATTTGATGCTGTAATGAGTCGAATTCATCAAAGTCATTTGTTCATCATGTCTTAGTAGTAATTAGGTCAGAAAACTACTTTTTACATATATAGGTATTTCTTTTTGAATTATAAGTTAAAGCTTGCCGTCAGTTATTTGTCTTGCCTCATTGCGAAAAAGAGTAGCGTCCGCCTCCACATAATCCAATATTTTTAAAAAGAAATTTAATTCATATCTTTCCATAGTCAAGCAAGAAACCAAACCAGTATAATTGATTTCGTAATATAGCATATAGTTTTTAAGTTTCAACGTCCACCTGCTAATTAATATTTATAATATTGATAATTAAACCATAATTAAAATCAAGGGCATGAGCGATTGATTATCCACTCAATTAATCTAAAACAATTTGAATGCATCATCAATAAAATAAAATAAAGCCCGAGATTATCACAAAACCAAGTTTTTTTCCATTTTTCTCTAGAAAATAATTAAACATTTTCCACAGAGCCTGAAGTAAGTAATTAGATTCTTCATTTTGTAGGCCAGAATTGGGACGAAGGAAGTACCATGTTGCCGGCCCGTAGCTATATAAAAAAACCTCGGCATTGTCGGCATAAAAAATGCAATTTAAATTAGGTTCCCATGTACCTTCTTTTTTATTTACAACATGTGGAAACCAGATAGAAAGAGACTGAGCCAACCAAACTATAACGCGTACATATCAATTGGTCAAAAACAAAACGAGTGCAAGTAAATCCATGAGTACCAATAAATTAAGAATGAGTTAATTAATAACGAACTGACGTAAACAAAGCCCTAAAACCATTAATTAAAGAAATTGAGGTAAAAGTTTGGCCAACTAAACGGACGTAGGAGAATCAAGTCAGAGAGAAAAGCTCAAAAAAAGTGATTAGAGGACAATTTAGATACGATTAGCTGAAACTTAAAAGCCTCTTTGTTGCTCGTGTATACTGGGCATTCAATTGAGCACAGGTCCCTGATGAGATGAGCATGAGATGACCAAAAAGTAAGGTTGGTTATAATGTATAAAACGGCAACGTTCTGATCGTTGGGAGCTTTGACCAAAATAGGGCGTTATATGATATATAGTTACTGGAATATACTATATATTTATTTATCATTCTGTTAAGTACCTACCGTCCGATATATTAATTATAGGACTACCAAATGCAATGGATATACACCATATAATACATAACATGCCTTAAAATGAATATATTCACATTTACCATATATGTACACGTACAAAGTACAAACAGAAAAAAAGACGAAATAAGTTTCATCAACCAACGAACGATTCAATGATTTAAACACAAAAGAATGGAAGTCAAAGCAGATCTAGCTTTAGCAAGCTTTAGCTAGCATTCCTGCTCAGTGAGATGAGATATATTTTGCGTTTGTGTGTTGCTTTGCTCTCTTCTTCAACTATAACACCAGTCGTTTTCATTAAGCGGAAACCTTGTGGGTCCCACTCCTTTGCATACGTCATGCATGCGATGCGGGTGGCTCTGTCTTCCCATTCCGTCGAGTATTTAAAGAGGGCCAGCCATTGAGACAATTACTAGCAACTTATTACAGCGCCAAAAGCACCCTTCAAGAGATTCAAAAACACCAAAACACAAGAAACAAAGAATGAAGCACCCAACTCTCATTCTTTCAACGTTCCTCCTCCTCCTCCTCCTCTCAGTCTCTCCTCCGGCCCACGCTGCAGGAGGCAAATGGCAACTGTTGCAACAAAACATCGGCATCTCCGCCATGCACATGCAGCTCCTCCACAATGACCGCGTCGTCCTCTTCGACCGCACCGACTTCGGCAAGTCCAACTTGTCATTGCCCGATGGAAAATGCGTCAGAAATGACTGCACAGCCCACTCCGCCGAGTACGACGTCACCACCAACACCTTTCGCCCCCTCACCGTCCTAAGCGACGTCTGGTGCTCCTCCGGCTCCGTTGCCCCCGACGGCCGCCTCATCCAAACCGGCGGTTTCACCAGCGGCGAGCGCCGCGTCAGGATCTTCGAGCCCTGCACCGGTTGTGATTGGAAGGAGATCGAGAACGGCTTAGCCGCTCGCCGTTGGTACGCCACCGATCATATTCTGCCCGATGGGCGCCAGATCATCATCGGTGGAAGGCGGCAGTTCAACTACGAGTTTTATCCCAAGAGCGCGTCTACAAACAAAGTCTTCAGTCTGCCGTTCCTCTCGCAGACCAATGACCCCGACGCCGAAAACAATCTCTACCCTTTTGTTTTCCTCAACGTGGATGGCAACTTATTCATTTTCGCCAACAATCGTGCTATTTTGTTCGACTACGTCAATAACAACGTCGTTAAAACTTACCCACAAATCCCCGGCGGCGACCCGAGGTCATACCCGAGCACGGGCTCAGCTGTGTTGCTGCCATTAAAAAACTTACAGGCTAAGTCTATTGAGGCCGAGGTTTTGGTTTGTGGTGGAGCCCCAAAAGGGTCTTATATCATGGCAACAAAGGGTACTTTTACGGGAGCTCTAAATACATGCGGTCGGATCAAAATAACCGACCCGAACCCGCAGTGGATCATGGAGACCATGCCTCAAGCTAGAGTCATGGGTGACATGATATTGCTTCCGGACGGCACCGTTTTGCTCATCAATGGTGCCTCAAAAGGGACAGCGGGTTGGGAACTCGGGCGGAACCCGGTGTTGAACCCCGTTGTTTACCGACCCGATAATGCAGTCGGGTCAAGATTCGAGCAGCAGAACCCGACCACCATCCCGCGGATGTACCATTCGACAGCGGTGTTGCTACGCGATGGTAGAGTGCTGGTTGGAGGCAGTAACCCTCAC